TTTTATACGCTGGTCGGTGGGGCGGAGCCAAACTCGAAAGTGAGGAGCAAGAATTGATTGGCTAGCGCGCGTAATGGTGTAGACGCGGGCTAGCGCCGAGCGTAGTATAAATGCGATCGTTTGAAGCAATCTGATTGGTTAGCGCGCGTGATGGTGAAAAGTGATGTGAAGAGCGAGCGTTGCAGAAATGCGTGATAATGTGGGATGTTCCCACATCACTCCCTCCCTTGTGAGAAGTGATGCTGCTTGCGAAGTGTATGCGGCGTCTATGCTGGACCATGATGATCCAACGTTGGAGTCGTTACTTGATGTTCACCACACGCGCTTCCAATCATGTCGGGGTCACAAATGTGGCTAGCTCGTAGGCTGATGATGAGCTGCGTTGAACTGAATTGAACTGAATTGATGAACTGAATAACTCGGCTCTGGAATCGCTCCTTTTTATACGCTGGTCGGTGGGGCGGAGCCAAGCTCGAAAGTGAGGAGGAAGAATTGATTGGCTAGCGCGCGTAATGGTGTAGACGCGGGCTAGCGCCGAGCGTAGTATAAATGCGATCGTTTGAAGCAATCTGATTGGTTAGCGCGCGTGATGGTGAAAAGTGATGTGAAGAGCGAGCGTTGCAGAAATGCGTGATAATGTGGGATGTTCCCACAACCTCAAGCAGATAACAAAAAAGGTGTGTACATCAAATTTTACTATATATATTTAACACATTAATCTGCAGAATCTCCAATAAAAGTACTGGCTCGTGGATGAGTATATTCTTTTTTGCTCTTGTTCGCTTAGGTATCATTTTCATTTCCCTATTAGGGTTTTACTAAGTCTGTCTGGTAATTACTACATATAAAAATAAATATTTAGGACTGTGATTGCACTTCTACCAGCGGCGTGTGCGCGCACTTCCACTAGCAGAGTTTAAATGCCCTACTGGCCAAAATGGGGTACTTTGGCCACGATGACTATACTCATCACTGGCACGAACGGGGCACTTCGGATGTTAAAGGTTAATGTTTCACTTAAATTATGAACATCAGAATTAAAGCGAGAGAAAATGAAGAGGTCTTTGCAACAACTCTGAAATAGTATATACATGGTGTGTTCAAAAAGTATCGAACCTTTGGTCGGCATAAATACATTTATTGATTTGGAGGTACAAAACCCTAATCCCCTTCAAAGAAGTCTCCTTGGTAATGCACACACTTCTCCCATCGCTTCCGCCATTGTTGGAAACACTTCTGGAACGCGTCTTTTGGAATGGTGATCAGCCGGGCCGTCACATTCCGCATGATGTCTTCTCTTGACTCAAATCAGGTTCCTTTCAGCAGCATTCTCAGCTTTGGAAATAGCCAAAAGTCACACGGAGCAATGTCGGGCGAGCAGGGAGCCTGACGAACCACAGGGATGTTGTGTTTGGTGACAAAAGTCTGAATCAGATGCGCAGAATGCGCGGGTGCATTATCATGATGGAGCTGCCAAGTTTTTGCTGCCCACAGATCCGGTTGTTTGTGCTGCACAGCATCACAAAGGTGATGAAGGACCTCCTGGTAGTATTCCTTTGTGATGGTTAGGCCTTGTGGTGCTTACTCATGATGCACAACCCCACGGGACTCGAAGAAAATGGCCAACATGACCTTGACATTGCTGCGGACATGCTGTGCTTTTTTTGGGTCTTGGGGATGTCGGATGTTTCCACCGTGACGACTGCATCTTGGTTTCTGGGTCGTACCCATAAACCCACCACTCATCGCCTGTGATCACGGTGTTCAGAAAGTTGGGGTTACTGTTTGCATTGTCCAGCTGGCTTCCCACCATGGCGGCCTGGGTCTGGTCAAGTGGGATTTGTGGTGGACAAACTGGCACTGGGGCAGGTTTTTTCCGAGTACTTCGGTTTCCCCTGCCAATCTTCATTCCGCCAAATTCTCCATCATCATAATCACCTGGGGCAGGCTACAATAGGCCAATCAGGGGCCACTATGCTGAATGGACCCAGTTGNCTTTAAAAAAAAAAAAAAAAAAAAAAAAAAAAAAAAAAAAAAAAAAAAGAACATGGTTTGGGTCACTCTGACTTGATGGAAGGAGTGCCCATCCCTTCTACATTTACAAAATAACTTGCTGTACAAACAGATCACTAAGGAATTTTTATTTTTTCAGTGTTTGAGTGCTTATATATTTGATGAAAATGAAGTAAAACATCATTAAGGTGCTATTCACTATAACACACAAAAAGCTATTTTAACTGTACAGCTACACTTTATTATATAATCAAAAACATTCTCATTATCACAGGCTTGTTTTTAAACTCATCACAATTATAAATAAGAATTATAAGACAACTAGTTTATTGAAACTACTGATATATCATAGTCCAAGAGAAAAATATTTACTTTATATGTATTTCCTTACAAATATGCAACCTGACCAATTAAGGACCTGGCAAAGAGCTGCATGGTGAGTACAACAGCATATGCAAACCAAGCAACTGCCTGGGGTAACACAATTTACATTTTCTTTGTCATTAATTGGTGATAATTTAAACACATTATGCTACAAAGTGAATAGAACTGTTTTGGGGATTTTGACACCAGTGATGGTTTTTGTCCCAGTGTTTGGGAAGTTATGTCATTTTAACTGTAACAAAGTTCTAAAAAGTTAATCTATTTTTCACTTGGGGGGGGGGGTTGTTCAGCAGTAGAATTTCTCATTGCCTGGAGCAGTATTTAGGTTTGTGCCAGTCCTTGTGTTTCAAACAGTTTCAGTCTAACAAATATTCCTGTAACGTTTACATTAATATATTTCAGTGAAGGATTCAGATAACCATGTCATCCAGTGTCTGAAGTGCAAGGTGAAGACTCATTGTTGCTATTTCCATTCGGACTGTCAGTAGATGAACTGTTCCCCCTTTTCATGTAATGTCTATCATCAGTGCCAACATCTTCAACTGTAAACAAAGAAGACAGCATTAGAGATGTTTACTAACAATGCTGAGAATTTATAAGGTTCTATGCTACAGAAGACCATGTTACTGTCTTTCCCATATATATATATATATGTTTTCTGGGGTATAATACATGTTTTGTCCTGTAATGAATGAATGAATGAATGAATGAATGAATGTACGTGTATGAGGGGTGGGCCATAATAATCCGGCCCCTTGCACCGCGACATTCAGTGATCTACTGTGTTTCTCCTTTTGATTAACCCTACACTTCAAATGAAATGTAGGACTTTGTTTATTGGGGCGTCATAGTAGTCATTTGGTTCCATAAAGAACTGGCCCAGGTGATGAAATATTAAATAAGCTGTGGCCTCACAATCACATAGGATATGTGTGACTGACTCATCTTCTTCTAGGTACCTTTCACAAGTGGTTTGTCCTGTAAAGTGCTGCCTAAAATCTGAGTGCATATTTTAGTCCAAGAGTAAAGCAGAAGGCAAAATGACTGAAAATGTCCCAAGAGAGAGATCACAGGAATGTTACCCCCATACCCCACATGGAAGCACCTTATGGGCAAGTTTATTATCTAGAACTGAAACGTCTTTGCACATTGTGCAATTGCCACAAGAGCATAAATTCGTAGGTGATCCGGGATTTTATCAGTGGCTTTGATTTTTGCCTGTAATTCTAAGACTGTTATGGTACATACGATCTTTTTAAATACCATATGAACAGCAGTCACAAAGATTAAATTTGAAGAAATAAGGGCTTTGTGCTCAAGGCACTGTCTAGTATTTCTGAAGGAAATAGTAACCAGTGTTTTATATCTGCAGCTGCTTTATAATGATGAATGGACCAGTATTTTTTAGAAAGACTGAATTACCATGCACTGCAGATGCCCTGCTGGACAGGGCAGAGACAGAGTTCTATCTTCTGGTATCAATAACTCTGTTTAGTCCACTGAAAAAAGTCAACTGACATTTTGGAGGAACATATCACCTCCATCTCTGGGGTTAAAGAGGAAGCCAAGCGAGGAACCAGCACGAAGCAGGCAACAAACAAAGCTCTACTCTCTTGCTTGGCTTACTCTTCAATCCTTATGATGGGGCAATATGCTCCTGTGAAACATCGGTTGACTTTCAACAGACCACACGGTATTATGTCCCAGAAAATGGTACTCTTCTTTGATAACCTTGTCTTTCAACAAGCAGTCTGACTTGGATGTTATTCATCAGATGGGGCTTGAGGCAAATACAGCAGTAGGCAAAGGGTGGGAAGCCTTGAGTGCCATCATCCCCACATCCATACGACTTCTTTCTGTGACCTTACTATAGTAAAGGACAATCTGATTATTGAAAAAAATGGTGTATTTCTGAGCATACTAGGACTGTCATCCATATATACAATATACAGGGATGAGCAAAAATATGGAAACATTCTGTATATATATATTGTAACGTGTTCGGCTACTGAAGACACTGTTTGTGGTTATGTAAGTTAGCAAGTAATTACAAATATGAGAAAATGGCGGCAATAAACTGAATCATAAAGTATGCCGAGTTCATACTCCCCCCCAACCCCCCAAACCGTGCATGTCAAACTCAACTTGTACAGAGGGCCACCAGCCCTCTAAATAATAGTCAAGGGCTGCACTTCAAAATAGAAATATACATTAGATTTTGATACAAGGAAATTTAATTCTATTTATTACTTAGGAATAATTTCAATATAATTACCTAAAGTGGAACACTTATATTTTGTCCACAAATCAAACATGTAATTTTACCTTCAAATTCACAACAGAAATAAGCGATTTCCCATTTTTCTTGAAAAACACGGCGCTCACTTTCAATAGTTCTTTTTTTGCTACTTAAATATTTTGAAAGCGACATTGCCCTTTAAAAGTTACTGTACATATACAAGAAAACTCGCAGTTGATAATTTAATGTTTAATTATAACCTTTATACATTCATCACAATATAACATCAGCACCTGTCGCTGTGTGAAAAAGAACTGAACGACAATGTACAAGAGACTACTGGACTAGTAGGAAGGTGTATCTTGTCTCAATGGTCATAAAAGTGAAAGATTGCTAGCAGCCCATTAGCAAATGACTGGGGGTTGCAAGCTAGTTTTGAAGGTAGAAATCCCTTGCACTTGTCTGTCAGTTGCCACCCTCCTTGCATTCTTACTACGCCTCCAAAAGGGATTCTTGGAAATACTTGGGGTGGTGAGGCTGTGCGGATTTTAGTGCATTAACCCTCTGAAATACAATAGTTTGTCCTTCACGAACTTAGTTGGACCAACCCTTCTGCAACTCTCAGAATCACTTTTCCTGCAGCCTGCTAGTTTATATCTGCATGAGACTTCTTGTCTTCTGGTCTGTTGGGAAATTGTCTTTACAAAAAATATTTCTACTAAAATTGTAATATTGATTTTAATATCAATTAGCTCTAAAAGATGAGGGGCCGCATTTTGTGGCTACAGGGGCTGCGTGTTTGACACGGCTGGTCTAGATTGTAGAATTGGTTAGTACATGTTGCTGGTCTATCAAGTTTAGTACCTTGGTATAAATGTGACTGTCTTTCCAGGACGTTTCAGTTCATAACATGCATATTTAGTGACAATCTAAATTCAAACTGTCCTTTAGAGGGTGTAATGTATAAGAATTGATCAGTTACATAAGTACAATGTGACACTACAAAAATTGCCTACTGAAATTTCATTGGGTTTATGCCAGTAATTTGTAGTGGCTAAACAGACACTGGATTGTTTCCATACCTAATCAATTTAAAGTCAAATTGAAGGACTTTTTGAGTAATAATTCCTTCTACACACTTGATGAATTTTTTAATTGATGATTTTATTTTGTTAAACTAATTATTAATTCTTCACTTATTATTACAATTAACATAATAATATATATAAAGGGCCTTGGCAGAAATATGATTGCTTACTATATACTAATTGTTATTCTGAAATGTAATTATATTAATTTATGTATTCTTGAATTTATTTCTATAACTTGTTTTTCTACGTTTTTATTGTATCTATGTTAAGATTCAAACTTGACTATTTCCACATCTCATGGAACTTGTTTCTGTATGGATCTATGGAAATGAAATAAATGAATGAATGAATGGATAATTTAGGATTTAACAATTTACACAAATGACTGCTACTGTGAACATTTTAGGCTACCATAACAATATCAGGTGCCTAATGGCAGCAGAAAAATTCACAAACCCAACTTGTTTGTCCAGGTTATGAAATGATCAATACCAAATGTTGCAGGGGCTTGTGAAGTTTCACCTGAATGAGATGTAAACTAGTGTTCAGGCGGCTCCAGGCACCAATTGTACAAGACTGCCAATTCCATCTGAACACTGACACTTTATTCACCTCCTTTAATATGCAGAGGAAATAAGCTGTTTATAAAGTTAGATTTACATTATTCATTGCAGTAAAGATTCATATTGTGGTGTCCTGGGTTATGACACCATGTAGTCTGCAGCACTACAGAGGAACCTACTTCTCCCACTTTCAGGGTTTAAGATCAAAGACAGAAGCAACGTGAAGGCCCATAGGGTTGTGATATGTTGAGGGTCCCACACTATCTAGACAATCACCTCAAAGATGGTGGTAAGGTTGTCAGCCTTATGCGCTGGCCGCTCTTTACTCCGCAGGAAAATTATTTAATTAATTCCTAGTACTCATTTCTATTACAGGCTGAGTAAACCCCAGGGCCTAGTGTGGCTGGAAGGATTAGCTCAACTGAAAAAAATCCAATGACCTCATTGGAACTTGAATCCGCGACCTTCCGGCTTGTAGCATTGTGCCTCAACCAACTATGCTACTGCGTGCCCGTCAGATTACAACAGAGTCCACAATATGAAGTTGTCTATTGTTAAGTACAACAAGCACCATGGAGAATGTTATCTTTTGTTGTATTTTTAGGTTGTTTGAATCTGAGAAAGTTGAAAATATACAATACCATCAATTTTATAAGTCAAAATAAAATGTTAACAAAAGCTACTGCATCTCTCATGGATTGTACAAGTACTTTCCTAAAGTAGGCTTATGTGATCTCCATCCTGTCTGTGTATCCCCACCTATCAACTTTTGAATGCCTGAGTCAAACTTGGCATGTATATCATGGCAACTGAGCCCATCTCAATGGCATATTTCATAAATCTCTCCTATCAGTCAGTGAGTTTGTATGTGTATCCCTCCTACTGTTGAAAGGCAACAGCTCGGTTAAGTGTATTCTCCTTTTGGTACTAGACAATGGCTCAGTAAACACGTTCCCACAGCAATGAATACATGTAACAGAGGAACTATTGCATGCATCAGTTTCTAAGAGGTCCATGTCTTCTCAAAGGAGTCTGTGTGACTATTTGTGTATCTCCCTACCATTGCTAGGTAACAACTCGGTAAAGATATTATAGCAATGAAGAATTTTTGGAGGCATTGTTTTCTGTGCGGTCCATTCGTTCATTCATTCATTTATTTATAGTTCCAAAAAATCCATAGAGGCATCTGGTTCAGATATAGAACAAGTCAACAAGTCAACATATCATATCAAACGGAAGTAGATGATTAGTTCTTCCCTGTTCTTCTTGCTTATACTTTGAAGGCACAACAGTGAACTTTTAAAAAATAACAAAATGTCCAAGGAGGAACAAGTGTCATCTGTTTTCCTTCAAATACTTCAATCTATATGGCAGGCTACAAAAGAACTATAAATTCATAATTTTTCTATTGAAGGATCCATTTCTGTGCACAACTGCTATGTAGAGATTATGACAACATTAAATTTGTCAGATGTTACCTTGAATTTTGGTGCTGCTGGTGGATGTCATCATTAAAATGTACAGAATATTTCATATGAAGTTTGTAGGTATGTTTGTGGTTTATCTCCCCACAAAATACACCTTAGTTGTTGCCATCAAACCAAAGGTAAATACAGATTTCATGTGGCCACCACAGTTTTATGTTTATTACTGTGTTCACAAAAGCATGCCAATGGACCATATCTGAGCCAGATGAATCCAGTCCATACCCTCAGACAATACTCCTCTATGATTCCTTCTAACACCATCTTCTCTTGTACATATAGATCTCCTAAACGATCTTTTCCTAAGGCTAGGGGGGGGGCAGATATATGCCTCCTCCTCTCCATGGACTTGTGGAGAAAATCAAAACTGAGAAATGATGAAAATACAGTAAAGAGTAATACCGAAAATTACAATTTTTTTTTAATATTGTTCTATCCTTAACACATTCAAGACCGGAGGGGCCAATTGACCCTCTAGGTTTCTATAGCGTTGTGGACCGGGCAAGCCAATTGGCCCTTTTCTGACACGTTATGTTGCAATGGACTATATCTCGCTGTGTGGCCATGTTGCATCATAACTACTGCATAGCTGACCTCAGGAATGTTTGCTAGCTTAGCCAGTAACATGATCACGCTCATTTCCTCTCACACCCTAAAGAAAAAATCCTTTGTTCGAGTCCAAGCTTCCACGTATGAACCAGGAAGTTAGCAGCGCAACATGGATCAGACGAAAGCAGTTGCAGGCGAAGCGTTCTCTCAGAGAACAAGAAATATTAGATTTGTTCTCCGATGAGCTATCAGATTTGCCAACTGCTTCGTCTTCTGATAGCGAGGCCAGCCTCAGTGAAAGTGACAGTGACAGGGGCCACAGGGCCCCCCCAAAATATTGTGTCCAATGAAAGTGCGAGTCCGATGATTTTCGGTTTTCAAAAAGTTGAACAGAAATTCNGCATTTCTGCTGAATGTGGCAAAAGCCTGGGCTACAGACCACATGGTGGCAGCAGAACCGGCGGCAGACACAGTCTTAGCGCGACCAGGCCCGTGTACCCCCACCCCACGCAGGCCTCATTTTGACCCCCCTGGACGACTCTCGGGTGATATGCGGAAACATACCCTCGTGAGAATTGTGAAGAGTGAACATTTCAAGAAGAAGTACCCTTCTAGGCAGTGCCGTGCGTGCGCAGTCCACAAGAAGAAGAGTAGGACTGCGTACATCTGCAAATTCTGTGTGATGCCTCTTCACAAAGGGGAATGTTTCCAGAGATATCACATGCACAAGCACTTCTAGGAGCTCTGGTAAGTGTTCTCCAAAAATTTTAGTTCATAAAATTAATTACGAGATTTTATATTAATTTTTAAAGTGAACAGTGCACAAGTTAGGGTGCTAGGCTTAAAAACCCCGGTCCACAGGGTGATTTAAACATTTAAACAACCAGTCCGCAATGTGTCAATACTCTAGGATGATCAGTAAAATGGCTTAAACATAAGCTTGCAAGAATATTTTTTGCCTGCCATTCTTGGAAAAAATTCTGCCAGCATCCATGTCTCTTTCCTTCATGTTTCCTTTACTACATTCTTGTATACATCTCTCCCATGTATACTGCATGCTCATCCAATTGATTTGATCATTCTAGTAAAAACTGCAAATTATGAATCTCTTCATTAGCGGTTTCCTCCAGCTTGCTATCATTCATATCTCTTAGGTCCAAATATTCTCCTCAGCAACCTGTTCTGAAACACCCTATAAAAACAAAACACCAGTTTCGAAAAACTGTTATCACAAAAAAAAAGAGCTAAAGTGCAGTTAGCATAGCAACTGGCTAGGGGCTGGATGACCTAGGGGTCAGAGTTTGAGCCCCACCCAGTCTCCTGTCCAATGGATACCGGGGGTAACGTGGCTGGGGCATGAAGCTGTCCATTCACTTCCAACTAGTGCCAAGGTTAAGAGAGCACAGATCGATACATCCACTTCCCCATACACCTTCATGACATAGTGCTTAATTAGTTAAGCATAGGGACAACTTTACCTTTTTTTATTACTTACTCATACTCATGGAGCTGAGCCCTTCTTGAGGTGCCGCCAATTCTGCAGCTACTCAAGAACTTCCCAGCCTTTTATGGAACCCGAAGGTTCATCACCATGTTCACAAGAGCCCTCCACTGGTCCTTATCCTGAGGCAGATCTATCCAATCCATACCATCCCATCCTATCTCTCTAAGATCCATTTTAATACTGTCCACCCAGCTATGCCTTGGTCTTCCCTGTGGTCTCTTTCCTTCTGGCTTTCCCACCAATATCCTATACGCATTCGTCTCCCCCATTCGTGCTACATGACTTGCCCACCTCATCCTCCTTGACTTGATCATTCTAATTATACTTGGAGAAGAGTACAAGTTATGAAGCTCCTCATTATGCAGTTTTCTCCAAACTCCTGTGACTTCATCTCTCTTTGGTCCAAATATTCTCCTCAACACCCTGTTCTCAAACACCCTCAGTCTATGTTCCTCCCTTAATGTCAGAGCCACACCCATACAGAACCACAGGCATAATTATAGTTTTGTATATTCTAATTTTCATGTTTTTGGACAGCAGACGAGAAGACAAAAGGTTCTTGACTGAATGGTAGCAAGCATTACCCAAGTTCAATCTCCTCTTAATTTCCTCCTGAATCAGGGTTCGATCTGTTATCGTTGTTCCCAAATATCTGAAATGTGCCACATTTTCAAAACATCTGTTTCCTATCTTTATATCATGATTTTGCCCTGCATTTTGATGACGAGACAGTAACATATACTTAGTTTTCTCTGTGTTTACTTCTAGACCAACCTCTTTACTTGCGTCAATTAAAGTTTGTGTGTTTTTCTTTCTGCTATCTACATTATCACCCAGTAGATTCATATCATCAGCACAGACCAACAGCTAATGTGTCCTGTTTAATTTCAGTCCCGTCGGGTTTCCCTGGACCTTCCTAATGGCATATTCTAAAGCAAAACTGAAAAGGAGTGGCGATAAAGCATCACCCTGTTTTAGACCATTCTGGATAGGAAACTTATCAGACAAATGTTTACCTACACGGACTTTACTATACATTTTGTTTAAACACATTTTAATAAACCTAACTAGTTTCATGGGTATCCCAAACTCTATCAGAATATTTATTACCATACAAAATTTCTGGCCCAAAAATTGAGTGTTTCTAGTGTCACTTCTGCTTTATAAATTCACTTTATTACTGTGTAGATACTACTGATGTTACAAAACTACGGAGTACATAGAAGAGGGAGTGGCCTCTAGTGACATGATATTTATGTAATGTGTTGTGAAGAACAGCCAATTTGTTCAAAATTCAAAGAGGGGGTGAGAGATATAAGACTGTACACATGTAATCTATCCTTGTACAAGGAGGATAGTATGCCAAAATACTCACATTCTTCATGATTTTCCCTTAGGTCTTCATTACTTTTATCCCTTTGACATCGAGTTTCTTTTAGTAAACCTACACTTGCAAGATTTGTAGACACTCTGGTTGTTTCAGATGATGACCTCGTTTTGCTAGGCCCTGCTTTGGCATCAGCTTCATCTTCTTCCTCTGCATTATGGCCTTTCTCAGTCACTGCTGAAATAAGATAAATCCCATTTTTCAAATGAATGTTTTTGTCTGTTTCATACACATAGTCATAGAGATTGTTCTTATGTTTTCATATTTTATTAAAATAACAATGTGCATGCAAACTATTTTAACATAAGTGCACAACATATGTCACTCAGCAAAACAGCTTTTTGAATATTTCTCTCATTCTACTGTTCTGTCTTCCTATGTTCAGTTATGATAACATAGTGTTAACAGAATAACAGTAATTTGGCTTATTTTGAAGTTTTTAGAGCCTTAGTATGTCAGCTATCTATAACAAACAGCACATACCAATGTGACATATACATATTACCTCATAATACATAACTGCTGGAAGCAAAGTAACAATGCATTCTGCCACTGGCATACACCCAAAAACTTGCAACAATCTGTCCTTTCCTTACAGTTACTATGCCATGCATTCACTGTAGATTTTGAATGAATAATATAAACTAACCATACCAATCTATGGTCACTCTCAAGTCTGCTGGATATGTGCAAGCATAAAAATAAAAAAGAAATCTCCATAAAAACACAGCTTCAATCTCACAAGTCTTCCAGTATGTATCATACAGCTACTTTTACATCAGATATGTAAAAATTCAATATGAAATGTTATGGGCAAGGGACAAAAGTAATAGACTCCAAAATCACTGACTAAATATATATATCTATCAAGAACAACAATAATCACTCACCCCTCTCCCTTATCTCACCCACAGTGTCTGAACTTTTTCCTGGAGCCCTGATGTGCGTGAAACTTGCAGCAATTACACAAATGCAAAAACATACACACATGGACTGACATTTAGGCATGACTGCCAACATTACTGTTAGATTAGTGAGTGTAGGTTGTCACTACAATAATATGAACAGTGTTTACCAGAAAATGCTTGGGGATACTGTGATGCCAATTTAGTTTTCATTACTCTTATTCTTCTAAAAATGGTGTCTAAATCTTTCTTCATTTCTAAGAGTAGTTGTGTATGCTTCTTAAACTCTGCACCGGCTGATTTTAGGCGATTTACAGAAAGAGCATTACAGTTGGTTAACATTTCATTCGTCTTTTCAAATCTCTGTAACCTGCAACAATATGACTGCACTTTAAAATAGTACTTCTGCTAATCTTACCAGTCTTATGGTAAATTATTCAAACATAACCTATAACTTCAGCGGTTTGGATAGAACAATTATAAATTCCTTACATTTGTTTCTGTGCTCTAATCATAGCTTCTACATCTTGCTGGTCAACAATTCCGGCTAAACCTTGTATAAAAACTTCTGGCGCTGTATAATTTTGAAAACATTCAATACTTCCCAGATCACTCTCAGGCGTATTTTCTGCCATTTTTATTCCATCAGCATTCCCACCCAAGGAGTTTGAAATGTATAGTCATGAAGGGAAATTTCATTCATACTGTTTTTAGTGCGGAAGTTCTGATAATGCCACTATATTTATATTCATTTCTGCAATTTAATAAACTGACTTTTTGTCTTGCCCCAAAAATTAACAGCGTTCTATGAATTCCTTAGTACTGGCCTCGGATTAGTAAATAGAGGTACTGCCCACGGGTTAGATTTACTATCTTTCGAATTGATAACCGCAATACTGGCTCTATGGAAGTGTTCGAAGGCCTTACCGCAGTGAGTTCAACCCGTGGTCCGCCGGGCAGATGGTGCAGTCCGCGAGTAAATTACACAAAGGGAAAAATACAAATTATAAAATTAAAGTAATATTCTTAATGTATTTTTCAAATAATGTATGCATTTACAATATTTACATTTAAAAACCATACTTACTTATGCAAGTGTCCGTCGTTTTACGAACGCTCGATTTACGAATTTTCGCTAGAACAAATTTGTACCTATTTTTTACTTAACGAACTTCATTTTTGCTATAATGAACACCTTAGGGTCGTAAGGTAGGCGACTTTTACGTGTAAAGTTGCGGGAATTTCACTTTCGATTTATGAATTTTGGCCTTATGAACAATTTTCATGGAACGAATTACATTCGTAAACCGAGGGATACCTATGATACACACAGACACACACGTCTGAGTGTGAGTGTTTGATAGTGACCGTAGATTGGTATGGTTAGTTTATAGTATTATTCATTCAAAATCTGCAGTGAATACATGGCATAGTAACTGTAAGGAGAAAACAAATTGTTGCAAGTTTGTGGGTGTATGACAGTGGCAGAATGCATAATACATAAGTAAATATCCTGAATATCATATGTATTGAACGACATATTTTACTCTCAGATGTTCAGGGTATTTAATTTTCCGTTATTGCAATAAGATAAAATCGGTTTTGTTGTATATAGTGAAACCTGTGAACTGTTGTATAAGGTATGGTGATACCTTGTATGAACTGCTGTACATGTTAATGCCTGTGTGGTATATGGTGATGCCTAGTATGTAATGAACTGTTGTATAAGTAATTGATATGATGTGTTATATGGTATATGGTGTATTGTTTTATGAAGGGACTGATGTAAGGTAATATACCTACAAGTGAATGAAGGTACAAGTTAAAGTAATCCCTATGGATGCATAATCTGAGGTAAAGATATCAAAAGATTGTAACTTGGCCTTTAACCTGCGCTATCACACGAAAATAAGCTTGTTTTCAACTAAAGGACAGAGGTAGCTGTGCGCCCTCCTGTCTCCTAAATTTTGTCAAGATCGATCAAAGTCTAAGATGGACTCACATACTGTAAACAATAGAATGTTCTGAAAGCTTGTTAGGATGATGCACTGTATGACGCTAATAGATGCTTCCAGAAGGGTAACGCCCTAACTGGAACATATATATGTATACTCCACGCCGGGCGTTATCAAACACTTTTTAGATATCGAAGCAGTCTGAGTCCATTGAGTGGAGCAGAACTGTGTGATACTAGAAGTCGGCCGCTGCCCTTGCTTAGGCAGACCACGGATTTACACACAGGGTTTTCTCTACAACTGTGTACGTTATCAATAAATGTACTAGTTAGTTTCAAGTTGCAGTACTCAGACACCCCGCACTGGCTCCAAAAGGAACCGCTCGCCCTGCCAGCCTGCAACCTGTCCCATCACCGGGATACAACAGTATGCAGCCCTTATTTTAATATACATGCCAAAAGTCTTTGTGTTTTGCTGTACAAACTTGACCTGTCCTGTCTGCTAGAATTGTCTTCGCTTTGCCAGCTTGAACTGTGAAAATTATTTTGGTTTTCGAGATGTTGACTTCGAGGGACGACAAGTTTTCGAATTGTCGTGATGTCGATTTATATGTAGGTTTTATGTTTGTAATTAGCAGTAATCAGAGTGCAAGTAGAGCTGTCGTACAGCAACGATTTTCATTATGAACGTCATACTAGAGTTTATCTTAATAGAACAGAATAGCGTGTATATTTTCACTTACTAAAATAGAAGAAAAATAATCTGACTTGGAAAGAAAGTATGAAAGTGATTTGCCTGTTTCACGCAGGAAATTGAATGTTAGTAAACGATATTATGTTTCAGTAGTATTAATGACGAATGAAATCCGAGCACGTTAACTTTATTCATTGAGTAATGAATTGTTATGTTCTATTATGGTTGTAGTAAAGAAAAGAAAATTTGTTGATGAAAATTATACATTTATAAGTGTAGGGTGCTTCTTTATTTGTATAGTAGAATTGTTTGTAATGAAAATATTTCCACTTTAAAGAAATAGAAAATCAAGAGACATGATAAAACAATGCATCACAATAGACTGACATGCAGTACAGTTTAAGAAGGATAAAATAATTCAGGTTCAGAACCATTTTACTCAACAACAAAATTTATTCACAAATTTAATTTTACAAATTTTGTAAAGCAAATTTAGAACTTTTAGCGGCTGAGATATTATAAAAATCTTTAGTGACATGTTGACTATCCTGTAAAAAAAATACGGTTTCTAAAATTGGTTTATTAAGATTTACGGTTGAAAAGTGACGCGAAGAACTGTCATGGAGCAATGAAGAGAGCTTAAAAATAAAATGGGATATTGCTCAATGATTTTTTGTAACCATGGACGAGAACACTGTCGAGAGCAATATTTGTAGCTTTCTTTCATGGGGTCGATAGGCAGTTCAATTGTAATTAAGTGACGGATTGGCAGCCTTAATGTCATCAGAGGGACAACTATAAGTGCAGATTTATAAGAAGAAGTTAAGGAAGGGATTCTCAAAAATTTTGATACATATCATTACAGACTAGTGACGGATGGAGCGCCAAGAATGGGCGAAAGGTGCAGTGTCATATCTTTACCCATCATCAGCAGCATGGACAATACAACAGATCACGATATGACAATATATCATTTATTGATACATCAATAAAATTTGTGTATGAAGTCTCTCAAATTGATTAATGTTTTTCCAGTGGTTTCAAAACTAGTCAATTTCATGCGGGGGGGATCAATGCATATTTAAAGATTTATTGAATGTTATAAAAAGTAAATGTTGGGAGTTCGTTGGCTGAATCGTGGCTGAATGTTTAAAAGCTATTATGACATGAAGTCAGAAATTAAATTGCTTCTGGAATGAACGAGAAACCTTTTCCTCGGTTTTATGATCACGAATTGATGTACGACTTTAGATTTTCCATTGAATTCACTCAACACATGAATAAACTGAACATCAGACCACAAAGAGCGAACTACTTTGTGAACGGAATATTTGACAAAATAACAGCATTCGAGAGAAAGTTTGGATTGCGAGCCAACAATTTCCAGTTCTGAGAACGTAAAAGCCCTTCTTACGCTAAGAAACACGTTGAAGAAATTCAGCTTCTGTAACAAGACTTCAACACCTCTTTTCGAGATATACGTAAGTTTAAGACCAAAAGCAACTTACTTTCAGTTCCATTTGGCGTTATGGTTGAAACGGTTCCAGTCGAATTCCAAACGGGGATGACAGATTTCTAGTGCGATAAAAAACTCAAAAATACACTTCCACACTTCCGAATACTTGATCTTTATAAACTGCAATTTATCTGCTGAAATTTTCGAATGCTTAGTGACGATGCATGGCGAGTAACAAGTCGTTTCGCAAGCTGAGGTTTTGAGAACATTTCATTTAAAAATGAACGTGATCGAGAGTAAACTTATAAATATAATTGACGCAAAATAGAGCCGAGATAGCTCAGTCGGTATAGCGGTGTGCTAGTGGGTGGACGGCCGGATTTCGATTCCGAGCAAGTGCAAGAGGTCTTACCTACTCAGGGTTCAGATGGCCTCTGGGTCCCAATCAGCCTCCCAACCAATGGCTGTCGGGAACTCTTTCCCCGGGAATAAAGGAGCCGGAGCATATAGCTGACCACTCATCTCTATCTAGTGCCGAGGTCAAAGTCAAACTCTAAGCTTCCTCCAAATATATATATGTATTAATATCTCCCTCCATGTTAGGTGGGTCCCTTGTCACCACGGCATGGCGCGTCCTCAGGTTGCGGATGGAGGAGACGCCCTCCAGTTTTGGAAGGAAGCTGCGAATATATTGAATAAGCAGTCGCGCACAGCCGACAATGCGTGGTCCTCCAGCTTGTAGGTTGGGCGTGGGGCTAAGAACTCCTCACCGTAAAAAATAACCTTATTACGAAAGTTCTCAAGAAGCCACGAACCTGGACGAATCCTCTAGATAAACGACCCTAAGCTAAAGAAAACGGACACGAGATTTGGTACATGGAATGTATGAAGTTTGTATAGGGCAGGTTCGCTCAGGGCAGTGGCGGAGAAATCTTAAAATATGTCAGATTTAGCGGGAATGCAAGAGGTCAGATGGGATGGAGGTGGCATCGCACCAGCAGGAGACTATACATTTTTCTGTGGAGAGGGGAATGAAAATCATGAATTAGGTACAGGTTTCTTCGTACACAAGAGAATCGTATCAGCAGCTAAGAGGGTAGAGTTCGTTAGTGATAGGATATCATATATAATACTGAAAGGTCCCTGGTGTGATATCATTAGAGTTTAGGTTTTTATCAACTGAAGAAGAATAATCCATGGTTCAATGAAGGATGCTCAAAATTGTTAGATCAAAGAAAGCAGGCCAAATTGCGGTGGTTACAGGAACCAAGAGAGTTAAATGGGGATAATCTGAACAATATAAGACGCGAAACCAAGAGGCATTTCAGGAAAAAAAAAGAGGGAATATCTGAAAGACAAAATTGATGAGTTTGCAATGAACAGTAAGAGCAAGAATATTAGAGACCTGTATAGGGGAATAAATGACTCTAAGAGGGGTTACCGCCGGTCACGGTAGCCGAGCGGTCTAGGATATGTACTGTCTTCGCTCGCTTGGAAACCGGGATCGTGGGTTCGAATCCCACTCAGGGCATGGATGTTTAGTTTGTGTGTGTGCGTTTTTCTGTGTTTGTGTACAGGTAGAGGCCTTGCGACGAGCTGATCACCCGCCCAAGGAGTCCTACCGAATGTGTAAGATCTAGAAA